CCATGAGCAGAGACAGAAGAAGAAGACAAGTTCAAAGTTTATTATGAAATTTGATCAAAGAATGAGAGGGGACAAGTTTGGAGTTCATCAGGAAATTAAATCAAGAGTCCTCACCATTTACAGAAGGTTATGATCCCTTCTCTAATATTCCCTAAAATTTCATAGGTTTTTTAGTAAGAGAAAAAGGAGAAGGAAATTGCCAAATAGAAGAAATCAAGCTGAGTACATCATATAATCTTTCCTACTGTAAGTGAAAAAAAAAAAAAAAAATACAACTCACTTCCATTATTTTAAAATAATTTGTACTCAATAAACCACTTGAAATCAAAAGTGCTTTTTCAGGGCTGATTACTTATATCACCAGGAGAATTAAAATGTAAGCCATAACTGAAATGTGATTTTAGTATAAGAGATAAAAGTTTGCAACAGAATAATTTAACAAAATGTAGTGATTACAAAACCAAATGTCCTGTTTATAATTCACACCATTAGCTTAATGGTGTGATTCTCAATCTTCAATACAGGCAGATGACTTTTCTCCAAACTAGATATTTTGGTCTAAATTTGCCTTAGCTTCCTACGCTGAGAAAATTTTCTCGAATGGAATCCAAACACATCCAGCCATTGCTTGTAACAGGTATCTTTTGTTTTGTCTCCCCAGCACTCTCTATCCATTTTTGGAAAATGACCCACTTCCATTCACTATCCACCCTTATCCTCTTCTATCCATATAATTACTATGCAGGACATGATGCTTGTTTAATGTTTGGTGGATGATCCAACTAACATTGAGTTCCTAAATATTCTCTGTGTCAATGACCCATCTCTCCACTCTACTTTAGGACTCACTCTCTAAAGACCACACCCTACTTGGGAATCGCTACTGAAGAATGGTTTACTTCTGTTACAACATGTCATGTGACCACACCCACCAATTCTTTCCTTTTTCTTACTCCCATCTCACCTGTTGAGCCTCATCCAAATCTTCAGGCCCCTGCCCACTCCTCCCAGAATGTTATGGGAAGTCAGGGACCCTGAACAGAGGAACCGGTTGGAGCCGTGGCAGAGGAACATAAATTGTTTTTCATCTTAATACGGACATTTATCATTTCTCAAATAATACTTTTATAATTTCTTATGCCTGTCTTTACTTTAATCTCTTAATCCTGTTATCTTTGTAAGCTGAGGATATACGTCACCTCAGGACCACTGTGATAATTGTGTTAACTGCACAAATTGATTGTAAAACATGTGTGTTTGAACAATATGAAATCAGTGCACCTTGAAAAAGAACAGAATAATAGCAATTTTTATGGAACAAGGGAAGACAACCATAAGGTCTGACTGCCTGCAGGGTTGGCAAAAAGAGCCATATTTTCTTCTTGCAGAGAGTCTATAAATGGATGTGCAAGTAAGAAACATATCGCTCAATTATTTTCCTAGCAAGGAATATTAATATTAATACCCTGGGAAAATAATGCGTTCCCGGGGGAAGGTCTATAAATGGACACTCTGGGAATGTCTGTCTTGTGCAGTTGAAATAAGGACTGAGATAAACCCTGGTCTCCTGCAGAAACCTCAGGCTTACTAGGGTTGGGAAAACTCAACCCTGGTAAATTTGTGGTCAGACCGTTCTCTGCTCTTGAACCCTGTTTTCTGTTAAGATGTTTATCAAGACAATGCACTGCTGAACATAGACCCTTATCAGTGGTTCTGTTTTTGCCCTTTGCCCTGTGATCTTTGTTGGACCTTTATCAGTGGTTCTGCTTTTGCCCTTTGCCATGTGATCTTTGTTAGGCCCTTATCAGTGGTTCTGCTTTTCGTTCTTTGAAGCACGTGATCTTTGTACCTACTATCTGTTCTTACACCACCTCCCCTTTTGAAACCCTTAATAAAAACTTGCTGGTCTGAGACTCAGGTGGGCATCACAGTCCTACCAATATGTGATGTCACCCCTGGCATCCCAACTGTAAAATTCCTCTCTTTATACTGTCTCTCTTTATTTCTCAGCAGGCCAACACTTATGGAAAATAGAAAGAACCTACTTTAAAATATTGGGGGCGGGTTCCCCCAGTACCAGACCATCATCTCCCTCACCTGTTTTCCACGTCCAACCACAATCCCCTATCAGTCAAATGAATAATGCTTTTCCTGTAACTCTCCATTTATTTTCCATCCTTTGTTTCCAATACAGCAAGCCTGATCAGTCTCCACCCAGATGAATCACACTCAAATTCTCTTCTGGATGACTGAACTCTCAAAAAGAACACTGCTCAACAATCCAGACTGGTATCATTCAAATTTATAGTGGCTAACAACCCTCATGATCATCAGCAACCCTTCCATTTGTTCTGAGTCAGTTCACTTCCCATCTCCCTAGGGTCACTGTTCCAAACCTTAACCACTTCCTTAAACCGCTTGCATCATCAAGCCCCTCCATCTTTATCGTCAGATCTTCTTTTTCACAGTAAAACAGAGGTTAGCAGATTAAAGAGATATCAGGTTATCAGCTTTAATAGACAGAAGAATATTCACCTTCCTGTTCGTCCACCTCAAACATACCTAATGGAGTACCAATCTTTATCTCACTCATGCCTATATTTGAGAAACCAGGGTCTCTCCTCTTTTCATCTCCAAGCCACCATTTCTACCTGTGTCTTAAGTCTGAGACCACAGAAACCTTCAGAGATGTTGTCTTTCTTCTATATCTTTTTACCTCCACTTTAGCTCCTTCTCCCACGAATATAAGCAGGTCAATTAATCTTATCCCCCAAATAAAACTATCTGCCCCACCAACAACAACAAAATGTTCCCTTGGCCCTTCTTCCATTTTTAGCACTTCTCCATTTCTTTCTTCTAGTTTCTCACCAAATGTCTAGAAACTATGTGCATCTATACATATGTGTGCCTTTTATACATATAAGCACAGACAATAAATATAAAATATGCGCATTTTATATATTTATATAATAGAAACATGGCAATAGTGTAAGGAATAAACAGAAAAAAATATATATATAATACCATGTGTATGTGTGTGTATGGATATTTATTTATTTATTTCTTAAAACATTGCCATGGTTTCTAATCCAACCTCTAGACCAAAAATACCTTCAGTAAGTCACCTATTTATCTTATCACTGCTAAGTCCAAAGCTCTATCTAAATTTTCTTCCTAATTGACCCAACTACAGCATTCAAAACTACTTTATTTTCCCCCATTGCATACAGAGTGTACATTTATTTGTTTAGTCTTTCTCTCTCCTGTAGGAACTAAGTTTTTATGAGGGCAAAGACCTTGCCGGCTTGATTCACTGTCCAGAATTGTGTCTGGCATGTTATAAGCGATGAACATTTATTGAATAAATATCACCTACCTCTAGGCAAAAATCGGTTAGTTCAGAGGTGGGAACCACACCCTGAGACAACTTCACACTCTCCACTGAGAGTTTAAACTTGAGACTAGGAAAGTCAACCCAGTCTCTTTAGGTAATAAAAATTCACCTTCAGTGTAAAAGGAGAATAAAGCAGATAATATAGAGAAAGTGAGACAAATAGCATCCTAACAGATTTCAAGCCCTTGGTTTCATTTATCCCAATGTCCCAATGTCCCTGTCACTTCATTCTATCCTTGGTCTCTGAAATATCCTAACATCCTTATAGTAAGTTACCTTTTTAACTTAAACTAATTTAGTCTCTTCTTCTGTCATTATCAAGAGATTCCTTACTAATATACTATTCTTTGGTTGGATAGGTTCAAAAATAAACATCCTAAAGCCAATGTTCAAAAAAAAAAAAAGAGAGAGAGAGTAAAAGTTTACAGTTCCAACTCCCTGAATGAACAATATGTGTAAAATATATTTAACGAAAATGTGGTGTGATATGGAGTCATTTTCTTTATGATTTATAAACTCTCTGCCACACTTAGGTACTATTTACGGGGGGGGGAGCTATTTTCTTGTTCGTATCTTCTCTAAAAAAGATTACGTATATATCACCATGGAATACTATGCAGTCATAAAAAAGGATGAGTTCATGTCCTTCACAGGGACATGGAAGCAGCTGGAAACGATCATTCTGAGCAAACTATCACAAGGACAGAAAACCAAACACCATATGTTCTCACTCATAGGTGGGAACTGAACAATGAGAACACTCGGACATATGGCGGGGAACATCACACCCCAGGGCCTGTCATGGGGTTGGGGACAGGGAGATGCACAGCATTAGGAGAAATACCTAATGTAAATGTTGAGTCAATGGGTGCAGCAAACCAACATGGCACATGTATACCTATATAACAAATTTGCACGTTGTGCACCTGTACCCTAGAACTTAAAAGTATAATTTAAAAAAATTTAAAATTTTTAAACAAGTTTTCAAAAAAAAAGATTATGTATATATTCATTTTATTCCTAATGCTTTTTTTTTTCTTTTTTGAGATGGAGTCTCACTCTGTCACCCAGGCTGCAGTGCAGTGGTGCAATCTTGGCTCACTGCAACCTACGCCTCCCACGTTCAAGCGATCCTCCTACCTCAGCCTCTCAAGTAGCTTGGATTACAAACATGCACCACCACACCGGGCTAATTTTTGTATTTTTAGTAGAGATGAGGTTTCACCATGTTGCCCAGGCTGATCTCGAACTTCTGACCTCAAGTGATCCGCCCACCTCGGCCACCCAAATTGGTGGGATTACCAGCGTGAGCCACCACACCTCCCCGAATGCTATTTTTTTGAAATGAAGTTTGGTACTAATTTTACCTCATGCTAATTTTCCTTAGACAGTAGGAAAAGTAAACCATTAACAGAGAGTAGTTGAAAAGTAAACCATTAACCGAGAGTAGTTGAAGAACCCAGTTACAACCACGCATAACAACTTTAAGGCAGGAGGACAAACTAAAATGTCTCCTACATTGGCATTTAGAAACAGTAAAGTTGTATCTTGGAAAATATAAATTAAATAATGAGCAATACTACATTTCATGGGTCATGGTACTTACCAAACAAACGCTGATGGAACAGAAATTTGCCAGCTATTAGTCCTGTGAGAATGGCAAGTAGCCATAGAAGCACCTTCAAAATCCTCCAGCCAACTCCTCTAGGGTATTTATTTGTAACAAATGAAAAACAGTTTCCAACAACAATAACATTGGCTTCTGTTTGGCTATGAGAAACCGGGTCCTCCGCAAATATTAAGAAGTTAAAGAAGATCACCAAGTAAGCCACAATCATGCGAGACCAGGGATGCTGGAAATAATAACGAAAGTCTTTACCCATTCTTCAAAACTCCCAGTTCGTAGTTTACCTGTATAAGAAAAGATAGATAGGGTTAGAGCAGGAAAACAAGTAGTCTCTTCCTTCTTTTTATCAGTTCAGGTTTATAAGAGTTCCATAAAAAGTTATTTGGAAAAGATGATACCTGTTCCTACTTATGGCTCCAAGACAAGTCTGAGAATGAGGAAAGCAAATATTGCCCCTTCCCTAACACCTAATCATACCTCTGATCATTTGGAGACTTGGGAAAGAAAAACAATGGAAGAGTAAGGGGAGACAAGGGGATGTGAGAGGGCAGAACACTGTCCAAAATTGGGATGGTGACCAAGATGACATGTAGAGGTCCTCCCAGGGGGAAACGCAGAGGTGGCACAACCACGGCTCATTGCAGCCTCCACCTCCTGGGCTCAAGCGATCCTCCCACCTCAGCCTCTCCAGTAGCTGTGACCACACGCATGTGCCACCACACCTGGTTAACTTTTGTATTTTCTGTAGAGACAGGGTTTCGTCATGTTGGTCTTGAACTTCTGGGCTCAAATGATCTGCCCACCTAAAGTTCCCAAAGTGCTGGGACTACAGGTGTGAGCCACCATACTTGGCCTCCTGTTTTTGATTATTACAAAATCAAAACGATATAGAGGTAAAATGAGCATATATTAATGAAAGTTAAACAATATTCTCTCCTCTGTCCAAATCCCACTCCTCAGAGTTATGACTGCTTACGAATTTGCTGTAATTACTTTCAGATCTTCTTCTAAACACTGACAAATGTATATACATGAATAAATTTTTATTAAAATGTTCACAGTCTAGTTATCAAATAATTTCAATAGAGAGTAAGTTCCATGAAATAGCTAAGTCTACGGAAGAGTAGTAGCCCACAGAAAGGACTGGGCAATCCTTTGCATTGGGTGAATGAGAAGAGGAAGATTTCACAAAAGATATCACCAAGTTTAAGGTTGGAGGATTAGCATAATTTTTTTTTAGTGAAGAAGGGACGGATAGAAGGCAAGCCACTCTAGGCAGTGGCTACGGCACATCCAAAGGCACAGGGCACTGCAAAATATGTAATATGCCTACAGTAGTGGGTCCTAACCTGACCCACTAATGTGCGCTGGAAGTACATAGCCATCTTAAAATGAAAATGTTCAGGCCCACCTCCAAAGTCTTGCTCAGCTCCTCCCTCTTCCCTCTTTGGGAACCAGCCTGCCCATAAAGAACACAAGCTGTAACTTCCACATGAAGAGATCTGTCTGGGTCCACCAGGGCTTGTAAGTGGATGATTATGTCTATGTAGTTCTGGTGTTTGGTGTTCGTGAGCCCATTTGGCTCTCAGACTAAACTGTGTCTGTTTTTCAGCAACAACACTGATTAAATCTTAGATATCAAAAATAATACAGACAAAAATTTGACTGCCATCTGCCAATTCATTTTTCTTCTCTCCCAATTTGTTTAGAATTCAGAAAGCGAAGAGGGAGAAGGGGGTCATTTACAAAGTCTACGGCAGTTTACATGCCAGGCTCTGTGCTGGATGTCTGCATGTATCATTGTGTCATTTTTGTCATAACAACCCCCTGAAATACTGTTATTATCATTCCTGCCACTTCATTTTACAGGGTGGAAATTGGGGCTGACACAGATTTTCTGACTTGCCCAAAGTCACCTAGCAGGAGAGCTCTGATCTGAGCCTCTGAGGCCGACCCCAGGTGCTGATCACCATTCTCTGCAGACAGCCAGATCAACTCCTTGCACTTTCCTTGCCTAGACAACAGGCCTAGGTCCCAGTCCCAGGGATGCCATCCCTTGAATGTCTTCTGGAGACATGTTCTCCTCCAGACACAAATATAATAACTCTGTAATATCTACTTCTAACGCATTAAAAAAATTTGTGTGTGTGTGGGCATGTGTGTGTGTGTGTGTGAGAAGGAATCCTTTATAAACTCTGAACACTTGGTGGGGGGAGTATCCATTGATAAATACTCTCACTTTATACATGACTGAAATCATAAAGACCATGCCACATGCCTGAAGTAAGTCAACGGAAGATCTGAGAGTCTCCAAGGCTCCCAAGTCCCAATCCAATATTCTGGGCTGATGAATGCCAATTCAACCCACAATCTTAGTTAATGAGGACTTGTCATGACTATTTTACAAAAGCAATATAAACATGCAAAAGGATTGGCAATAGAATTCAGCCAAGCAAACAGTCACTGTGCCTTGGATTCATAAGCCTTCTAAGCAATTTTAAGTCGCTTGTTATCTCTGTGAACACTCTGAAATCTATCCCCAGGGGCTGTAGCTTGGATCGCCTAGGAATGGTGACTATCTCAAGAGTCTTGTTTTTGTTTTTGTATTTTTCAATATGAGGCTCATCACCTGCTATAGCAGCAGAAACTTAAACGTGTGACTCTCACACCAAAGACAGCAGAGCAAGTAGTGAAGAACAAAAATGAATTTTTACGCGTTTTCATGATATTTAATGTGTAAGAATGCCAGAATAGGTTGGTTTTCAACTCAATTTCACACAATACTTTTGGAAGTGTCCAAAGACCACCATTACAAGAAAAATTCATCACTGGTCACCAGTGAGTCATAAAAAAGAAATAGTTCCCATATGCCCATCAGAACTAGAAAGGAGTATTATTTAAGAAGCTGTTATTACAAGTTGCTGTCACTGCTTTTGCCAGTGAAGAATTCTACCACCACCTCCCTTCCCATCATGAACACACACAATTAGGGCAGTAGGAGTTAGAAATACTACTGAAATACCATCATTGTCATTCCTATCACTTCATTTTACAGAGAGGAAATTGAGGCTCACATGGACTTTGTAACTGGTCCAAAGTCACCTCTCAGAAGAGCTGTGATCTGAGCCTCTGAGGCTGACTCCAGGGCCTTATCACCATTTCCTGCAGACGGCCAGATCAACTCCAATACATACACTCTTGATTCTTTTTTTTAAATACATGCATTTTGGAGGCTAGCACATACTTATTTTCTTGTTTTTAACTTGAGAATCTTGCTTCGTGGGCTATGTGATGTCCACATGCTCAAGTTAAATTAGAACATTCAAAAAATTTCAGAGACAGCTGTTTCTCTCCAGCATTTATATTATTTAGGGAAAGAGAACTATAGCATTGACCAATACTCCTGCACTAGTACATGATTTTATTTAATTACCGCGGTAATGCCATGAATGCCACTATCACTGCCACATTACAGGAAAGAAAACAAAGGCTCAGAGCAGTTGCTGCCTGTTTAATTTACATAGCAAGTGGAAACATCAGGGTTTGAATCCAGACCTATACCTAGCCCTTAATCTTTCTAATATACCACAAAGCTGGAAGTGTTTCTTCCAGTAAGGTATTCCCCATCACAGTTACAGCTTATTCTGTATTTCCACTAACAGTTTCAACTAGCAGAACAAAATAGGACCCCATTATTGATCATTTAAGCTGGCTGGAATTTATTCTTGCCTCATAATTCTGAAGTTGAAGTGATATCTTCTAGAGGGTCCCAAATTTCAAACCCTTACATAATAATTTGAATTAAACCTCTGCTTATCCTCACTTCATGACTTTGTACACAGGCTGCAAATGTTTGCCTAGTCATCTCAGCCCTACTTTCTTGTTCCTTAGGTACCCCAACATTATCCAGAGAACCAAAGCTGTTTTCACCTCTGTAGTGCACATAAAACATCTTTACAATCAGTATGATCATCTGATGTATCTACTGTTAATTTAAATGCGGGCTTGAGGCTGTTCAAATGGACTATGTTATACAGGGCACATAGTCCGCAAAACCTTTCCATTTTTAAATTCATTTCTATAACCACAGATGATAATGAGCTTTTATCTTAGCTTCTGGCTCATTATAGTGAAATTATCTGTGTATGTGTTTGTCTCCCTCACTTGATCATAAGCTCCTCAGAGAAGTGGCTGTTTACTGCCAGGGCACAGCACAATACTGGGCTCATATTGGGTGATCAGTAGGTATCTATTGGATGAGCTGAGTGGTACACTCACAAAGAGAAGCTCTCTCATTATTTAGGTGAGATGAGAAGAGGGTGGAGCAATCTGCCATTCAACTTCCGCTAAGGCAAACAAAGCGAAGAGGAGCAGTGGAGACCAAGGACTACATTGATGACCTGGCCAGTAACAATACTAATGCACCCCCACTCAACTCCCTCTCATTTCAGCACGAGGTGTTAAATTAATATTTCTAAGGCTAACATTTATTGAGCACATACTATATACCAGACACTATGCTGATGAGCTTTACCAGCATCTCTTAAATTTCATAGCAAACCAATGAAGAAATTATTGTCCCCATTTCACAAATATTGAAACTGAGACTTAGAGTTCAGTACCTTGTAAAAAAATAACAAAATTAATTTATATCAGAGCCACAATTTAAACCCAAGCCACCTGGCTTCAACACTCCATGCAATGCCTCCCACACACAAGGACACAAATTCTAAAATCTTACCCTTTACATTAGTTGAAAGTTTCTGATAATAAAGCCATCTGATATAAAAAAGAAAAATTCACAGTACTTCTATTTTGTGCAAAGACACAGAAGAAACTGCCTGGGACTGATGTAGAGATGTATAGTAGTTGTGTGTGGCTAGAACACTGGGTGCTTGGCATTATCCTGTGAGAGTTAAGGATAATTTGGAGCCAATCCAACAAAGATTATACAAAAGTGTTGGTCCGTATTTTACTGAAAATAGAGAATCATCAAAGGTTTCAGAGCAGAAGAGACAATCATGCATATAAAAGTGATGATGTACAGATTTGTTAACTCCATAACAACATTCATTCATTCATTTGTTCAATATTTACCACTTGCCTATTTTTTGCCAGGCACAGGCCTATGTGCTAGGGTAACTAACAGACAAAGACCTGTTGCTTGCATCTGATAGTTTCTTTGAGGGAAACAGATATTAAACAAATAAAAATTAAACACAGTATTCAAGAAAGTTCACAGAGAAAATTAAAGCAAGGAAAAGTTAACAGGGAGTGTCAGGTGTGAGGGAAGTTGAAGACGTCATTATAAGGTGACATCAGAAGACAGGCACGAAAGAAGGGAGAGAAGTCAGCAGCTATCTGGGGAAAGTGTGATCCAGATAGAGGGAACAAAAGTTGGAAAGGCTATTGTTGGGTGCAGGTTTAGAGCAAATTAAGGATCTTCAAGGAGGGCAGTATGACTGGATGGGGAGCAGGTGCAGGGGAGTACAAAAGAGATGAGGTACAGGAGGTAGCATCTGATCATGAGCAGGCCCTGAAGCCCTCCTATGTGGGCTTTCACCCTGAGTGGGATAGGAAGCAGAGGAGGGACACAATCTGACTTATATGTCAGAAGGGCCTGTCTGTTTCCTGATTGAAAATATTTTGTAAGAAAGGAGGGCAAGGAACAGAAGCAGGGAAGCTACTGACGAAGCCATTGCCAAAGAGATGCAGCAACTTGGACCAAGCAGAGAGAAATTAAGGCAGTTTAAACAACTCTGGTTCGGGACACATCAAAAATAACTACTAAGATTTACTAATACATTGGACGTAGACATGATCTAGGCAAAATCCAGAATGGAACTACCATTTCCTGAGATGGAAAATGCATTTCCTGAGATGAAGAGGGTTGCAGTAGATGTAGACAGCACTTGTAATTAACACTTTTTAGTGCTTTTAGGGGTTGGGCTCTTGGAAAGCACTTTCCACGTATTTTCTAATTATTCCTGATACCAGCCATTTGGATTTACCAGTGAAGAAACAGAAATTCAGAGAGGTTATGATCTGTCCAGGATCATAAAGCTACCAGCTGACAGAAACAGGTATGACTACCTCTATATAACCCCAAAGTTATTACTCTTAGTTACCATTGTGTGAAGTATAAAATACAGAATAAAATTTCAATGGGAACGAAGTAAGAGTTAAGTACTAAGTGATGACTTGCACCTAGTAGGCCTTCAATACATATTTGCTGATGGATGAATAAATGAATAAACAGATGTATGGATAACAGAAAACAGACCAGCCTGGGTGAGGGAAAAAAAAAAAAAACTAGAAGACTCCATTCCAGAGAGAGTACACTCTGGATAATACACATCCAAATCTGCAAAAGGAGAAATGGCAGAAAGGTGAAAAACCAAATATATAGAATGTCCTCAAAGAGCTACAAACTTTCGAAAGCAATCTCAGGCGGCACAACATCATTTCTGTTTTTGTCTATTGGTGGTATGGGGATGTGGGGGTGGGGAGAGGCAGAGCCCACAAGGAGTATGAAAAGTCTTATACTTACTTTCCAACCTACCTGGTCTCACACACACATATGTACACACGCACACAGACCAGTCCTGAGGTAATGACAGGTCTTAGTATATTATCTTCAATTGTTAGATAAAAAGGCAAGAAAAGATTATATATACCATTTTACATAATGCAAGTGCCTAATACAGGTTTTAAAAAAAACACAAATAGCAATAATAACAGAAATAAAGTTAGAACTTCTTACTCTTAGTCTAATACAAAAGATCACGGGGCTTTTAAATAAACAGCAACCTTTTAAGTCAATCAATAAAACCACTATAAGTGGTTCTGATAGATTCCAGGATAGTATTTGTGGTACCTTAGCTAATTTAGAGGTTTACATCTATAAATCACTTCCTAGATTTTCTCTTCACATTGTTTCAACCTTTAAGTGATTTTTCTTCCCTTGTTCCTATCCTGCAGTCCTTGGGTAAACAAATTGCTTAATCAATGCAAGTTTTTAAAACAGCAACTCCAAAAGCAAAATAGGTCTACTGGTCCTCTGAACAGAGACAACTTTCCATTGAAATGGCAAAATACTTATGAGCCCTAGCACATTATAAAGTTAAAAAATAATCACTACTATATCCTTTAAAAATGTTTAGACCTCCTTTTCAGGGATTTGTTTGTAATAAAGAATTGCCAGCCGGGCGCAGTGGCTCACACCTGTAATCACCGCATTTGGGGAGGCCAAGGCGGGCCGATCACGAGGTCAGGAGTTCGAGACCAGGCTGACCAATATGGTGAAACCCCATCTCTACTAAAAATACAAATATTAGCCAGGCGTGGAGGTGTGCGCCTGTAATCCCAGCTACTCAGGAGGCTGAGGCAGGAGAATCCCTTGACTCGGGACGGCGAGGCTGCAGTGAGGTGAGATCACCGCACTGCACTCCAGCCTGGGCGACAGAGCCGGACTCCATGAAAGAAAGAAAAAGAAAGAGAAGAAATTGCCATGGCCATATTCCAAACACAATGCCAAAGAAAAAAACATTTAATTAATTAAATAGAATTCATTTAAAAAGTGTATTTTTTAAAGGCAGCTTAAAGAAGCATGGATAAAACTGACAAGAGCCAGTTTGTCATCACAGGGATGAGAGGGAGGGTGGAATAGGAGGGATAAATGCCTGAGACAAAATGTCAAAATCCATAATTACTTTTAAACTACGAAGACTGGGGGGATAAAAGAAAGTATATCCATGGTCAAATGTCAATACTTTACAACAAAAAAAATGAGGTTTACAGGGATTCAACTACTTTTATATTCAATAAATTGGAAGACCTCGTTTCTGAAGCCAAAACAAAAACCCTGTAGCTTCCTAGAAGTCTTTCCTTGGATTTCAGACCATACATCATTTATAATTAGGGGGCAATACATATCCTTATATTCAACATACTTTTCCTCATGTTTTTTTCCTTTTTGGTTCCTGATAAGCATGTGATGTTTACTCCCCTCTCTCTCTCACCCACACACCCACACACACACACACACTTCATTGTTTCACAGACGGTAGAATACACTTGAGGGCCTGTGGCATTTTCAAAAATAGGAATAAAAAAATAGTTTTATTTAGTCACGATGAAGTTAGCAAACACCCAAACACCCAAGTCTTTGGTTTTTTTCCCCAAGAACAACACCTACGAACGGCAACCTGTTAATTTAATTAAGAAAAATAGGGCTTTTACTCAGTCCCTAGGCTAGGAATCGCTGAAGCAAGGAAAGTTCAAGGTCTGCTCTCCCACCGTATCTCTGTACCCTGGAGCCGGGAGTTTGAGGGCTCCCACCAACAGCCTTTCGCCCGGGAGTCTCCACTGCCCTTAGCCAGAGGGCTGGCGCGTCCCCCTCCTTCCTTGACACTTCACCCTGCCTCTTTGGCTGCCATCCCCAGGAAGGCAGGAGCACAGGCGCCGGGGAATTCGGGGGCCGGGCCAGGGTTCCGCGGCTGCTTCCGCACTCGCGGGCAGGGACGAGGAGGCAGCCGGGCTGCGGGCGGCAGGGCCGGGAGGGCTCCGCTGCGGCCGGACCGAGCGGCTGGGGAGGCTCACCCAACGCCCGGGCCCACGTACTCACCCGAAGGGTCGCGCGGAGCGCGGGGCGACTACACACGGGAGTCGCGGTCAAGCACAGCCCTCGGCGCGCCGGCGGCCTCGCTGGGAAGCGCGGCGAGACGGGCCGGCGGCGTCGCTGCCGCTGCTGCTGTCACGAAGCTATAAATACCGGCTCGGCCCACACCCGCCGCCGCCTACGCCGGGCGCCCTCCGCGCCGGTGCTTCACCGCGCCGCGCTCCCGCCGCAAAGTCCGCGGCCGCGGGCCGGGCAACGCGAGCGCAAGGGCACCGGCGCCGCGCAGGTGACCGCGATCATGCCAGCTGTGTGCAACCTCTGCAGCTGGAGGCATGGCCTTTCCCAGCCCCCGCCCTCCCGCCCGCACCACGGGCTGACTCCAGCCCGCGGGCCGCGTGCGCCACGGGCCGAGCCTGCCCGGGCCGGCCCACCTCTGCAGCGCTGCAGCTGCAGGAGGGGGACGATTCAGGAACCTGGTGGGGGTTGGGGGGCGGCTGACAGAAAATCCACCATCCTGCAGGGAACCAATGAGGGTCCCACTGGAATGTCCTCGAAGAGCTACAAACTTTCGAAAGCAATCTCAGGTCACAAAACATGATTTCCGTTTTTGTCTGTTGGAAGTGTGGGGATGTGGGGGTGGGGAGAGGCAGAGCCCATGAGTAGTATGAGAAGTCTTCTACTTACTTTCCAACCTGCCTAGTCTCACACACACACTTGTGTACACATACATTCATACACACATAGAGATGCACAAATATACTTATGCATACATATGTATACACACATAAGCACAAGTACACACATGCATACACACATGTATACCTCAGCACACATACTCATGCACAATTTTTAAACTTTTTGCAGTCTGAGGCTCTCAGAAGGCTGTCATTCTATGGTACCTAAATGATACCGCTGCGGCATAGGGCAGGAAGACCCTTTGACTACATTTGACCAATTCCTGTCTTCCTGAGTGTAACCTCCTTTCCATCATATATGTGTGGCCTCTGTTTCCTTCCACACCTAATAGCAGCTGCTACCTCAGTTTACCAGTTGCTGAAAATGTGTTAACAGCTGCTATCCAGCATGCTAATATTTCTTGGTAATGGAAGTTATCACTAGTGTATATAATCAAATGGAAAATAGGATAATTTCTATATGCCCATATTAGCAAACTTATGAAGGAAGAGGTAGGCCTTCTCCTGGACTGGTAGCCTGATTCAGGAATGGGTTGGATGGCAAGAGGGAGAACTGAGGTGTCAGCAGATTTTAAGATGGGATGGAGAGAACCATGCCCAAGTGCGACAGGGTAGCTTATCTGCACAGGGATAATTGGGAATTCACTGCCATAATTCCCACTAATTTGACATTTTTCTAGCTTCCAAGAATGACCATATATATATGGTTTTATATATGTGTGTATATATATACCTCTCATGTATATCAGAGTGAACTCAATCCACTCCATAATCAATTGAACTACATGGGTGTCTACTAAAATGAACTTCAGTTCATCAGAACCGAAATGTCATTCAGCAGCTTGTCTTCTGTCTCCTTAAGAAATGGAATCCCCACATCCCCACACCACTATCTATATAGTAGTCAATCATTTGTGGTCATTTTACGGAACTCTTAACTCGTAAGGTTCTCTTTTGTAATGCTTTAACAAGTTTTGCCAGAAAGAGTTGTTGCCTATGCAGCACTTTGTACATTTTACTATTACACTTTTGTTGTTCTTTTTTGCAACTTCTTTTTTCCCCCACTACGCTATGAACTCTTCAAGGGCAGAGACTAAATGTTACTCATCATTGTATCCTTAGTACCTAACATTGTAAGTTACAGTAATGGCTCAGAGATACTGGATTAATTCCACATATTAGTCATTATATTCCACTGTGCTTTTATAACTGTAATTAATAGTATTCTCTAAAGAATTTTTAAACTGTTACACGTGGGTAACTATTTAACAAGGGTTCCATATGCTATATTTTCCTTGGATCTCCATTTAAAGCAAGGACTCTTCAGTCAGTTAAAACTGAAAAATAGTAAAACTTCACAAATTACACAGAATACTGAGGTCTGTAATTTACTTCTTTTATTATTACTATTTTTTTTTTGAGACATAGTCTTACTCTGTCCCCCAGACTGCAGTGCAGTGGCACAATTATAGCTTACTGCAGCCTGGACCTGCTGGGCTCCAGTGATCCTCCCACCTCAGCCTCCAGAGTAGCTGGAACGACAGGCACACACCACCACACCTGGCTAATTTTTGTATTTTTGTAGAGACAAGGTTTTGCCACATTGTCCAGGCTGGTCTCAAACTCCTGAGCTCAAGTGATCTGCCCACCTCATCCTCTCAAAGTGCTGAGGATACAGGTGTGAGCCACCGTGCCCAGCCTTTTTTTTTTTTTTTTTTTTTTTTAAGAGACAGAGTCTTGCTCTGTCTGTCACCCAGGCTGGCGCGCAGTGGTGCAATCATAGCTCGTTGCAACTTCAAACTCCTGGGCTCAAGCAATCCTGCTGACTCACCCTCCCAAGTAGCTGGGATCACAGGTGCACACCACCACACCTAGCTAATTTTTTAAATTCTGTAAAGACAGGGTCTACATTGCCCACCTGATTGTGAACTCCTGGCCTCAACCCATCCTTCAGCCTCGGCCTCCCTAAGTGCTGGGATTTTAGGGTGAGCCAGAGCACCCAGTTGAGGTGTGTAATTTATAACCCCCGTCACCTCCAGACAAAACAAAATAAAGGAAAATAGGAGGCACTTTCCCTTTCATTGAGAAAGAGACTGAAAAAAACATTGTATTTCAGGGGATAGTGGGGTAAAAATCATTCAGTAGCTTGTCATCTGTCTCCTTAAGAAATAGAACTCAATCCACTCCATAATCAATTGAAGTACATGGGTGTCTACTAAAATGAACTTCAGTTCATCAGAACCGAAATGTCTGGCATCACTCACATGGAACTTGTTAGCCTACCTTTAGACCTTTAGATCTCTCTTCATATAATAATAATTTTAAGAATAAGCTCTACCAGTGCTTACTATTTATTGTCGAGAAGCCTCAGGGCTTAGAGAATATAGTTCTCCAGGACCACTTCAAGGCAAAATACTGAAATGGGCAAGGCTTGTTTTCAGCATCAGTGTTCCCTTTTTACCACTGACCAAGAAGCCTGTGCCCTTTGGCTTGGTAGCCAGCCATGATCTCTAGCTCAGCCCTGTTTCAGAACCGGGCAGAGAAATAGCCTCTCAGCTTGGTCACAATAAAAATTAGTGACAAAAGTTCAACTTATTGAAGGCTTATTGTATACCAAGCTCATTACATGTATTAAAGACATGTGAGATAGCTGCTGAACAACGGAGTATCCCTCTCTACATTTACCTTTGAGGAGACAGGCATACCGAGATTGAGTAGTTCATTCAAGATATCACAAGTAGCGTAGTGGTAGAGTAAGGATCAGAAGCCAGGCAATGTGGCTTGTCAGCCCACGTTTTAACCTCTCATCTTATATAATACTGCTTCTCCATATAAGAGGAAAGAGATGTGGGTTTTCTAGTTAGGAGACCTGACATAATGAATGTTGGTATACATTCTGGCTCCACCGCTTACTAGCTATAAACTTATACAAATTGCCACTAAAAAATTACAATAGGAATCCCCAGATCTTCCTTCTTCACCACTGAAGTGGTGAGATGTTAGATCTGGATGTGGACTTACGAGCTCAAAGTAGGTCACTGAAATCTGTTCACAGACAGATCCCACTCAGGATTTCAGCTACTGTTCTCCCTATTCTTCAGTCTCCTTCCATACTAATCACTACCACACAGACCTATTAGGGACTTTAAATGACCCAATGTCTATAAAACACCTGTAGTGTCTGCCATGCAATAGGTAGTCAGTAAAGGCCATTCTTCTTTCCCATCAAACGTTACCGTTCTATGAAAACTTTCCTCTAGGTCAAAAATCAATTGGCCCAGTAGCCAGGTGGTGATTGCTTACTCACACAGAGTTAACCACTTCTTCAGTGTTGGTCAGCAGTGATTTTCAAAGGGTATAGATAGAAGTTCCAAAAAGAAACCAAGATAGTAGGGCATAAATCTCCCACTCCCTCATCCATATTTTAGCCCAAACAACTCCATTTCTTTTATATGCAGGAGTTTAGCCAATGGGCCACAGTTTCAGACTGTCAGGGTAACAATAGAAATAGTTTTTGAAAACTCTCAGATCACACCAGTCAGTGACCTGCCTACTCACCTCCACATCTGAAGTCAATCCTGCGAATAGGCTTAAAATGCGTGTTGTTTACATACCATTCCTTTGTAAAATCTGATCCAAGAGTTAAAAAATCAGAAGTAAGGCCAGGCGCAGTGGCTCACGCCTGTAATGTCAGCACTTTGAAAAGCTGAGGTGGGCAGATCACAAGGCCAGGAGTTCGAGACCCGTCTGGCCAATATGGTGAAACCCCATCTCTACCGAAAATACAAAAATTAGCCAGACGTGGTGGTGCACGCCTATAGTCCCAGCTACTTGAGAGGCTGAGGCAGAAAAATCACTTGAACCCGGGAGGCGGAGGTTGCAGTGAACCAAGATTGCGCCACTGCACTCCAGCCTGGGTGACAGAGTGAGACTCAGTCTCAAAAAAAAAAAAAAAAGAAAAAAGAAAGAATCAGAAGTAACCACATGAGGCATGATATTTTTCCGTTCACCTCACATGTCCCAGTACCTCCATAATACAGTTTACTCTTGATTAAAAAAAAAAGAAAAAAAGAAAAAGACAAGATCAATGCTCAATGTACATTTCAAAAATTGATGTGCGCTTTCATTATGAACCAATTTATCCTCTCTAAATGGCATTTTGAAAGCCAGGGGAAAGTATAGGTGTAATCATCAGTAACCCCTACCAAGTCAATTGGGAAATGTTTTTGTCAGTGATTAGATGGACTCTAAGCAAAACTTTTTAACTTCCAATAGGTCAGTCGGGATGATGCTAATTACATGCTCTGAATATAAGCAGCGTAATTTCCTTATTGCCAAAGAGGTAAGAATAGAAATTTGCCCACCAAACGCAGACAAATTATCATCCATAATTTTCTTTGGTATTTAAAGGGCAGTGACTCTACTGCTAGGATTTTCCTCAACAATCCTAATTTCAAGTGTTCATTCCCATTAAGCCCAATGCATGCTGATATATTTTAAGCCCCATATCCTGAATTTTGCTTGTGAAAAGATGGCCATCACATGTCTGCTGCTTGGAATACTGGAACCTGTGCTCTGAAATCCTCATGATGATGCCAACTAGTTGTCATATGATATCAAGCAAATTAAGCTTTCTGTACTTTAGAAGTAGCTGCTTTGCATGTCTTAGAGGGATTAAAAATGAATGTTACACTTTTAGCATTT